TCTCTCTGTGTGTGTAACTGACTTTCAAATAAATAAATAAATAAATATTTTTTAAAAAAAGATATCTTCTCTAAGTAAAAGGCAAGAACCTGGAAAATTAATTTAGGCCCAATGCAGCCTGTAACACAAGAAGCAGAGCAAACTCCGGGGTGCTGGAGCCCCAGAGCTTACAGGAGGCTTCACAGGCCAGCCCCCCACCCCGGGTGTTAGTAAACAGACCTTCCTCTGGGAGTCACAAGTAGGGTGGGGGAGGAGAGGGAACCTTGTGGGCCCTGGGACAAGATTTCCTGAAGGTACAGAGCCAACTCCCATTTCTAACTTCTCTTCGTGTTGCCGGTTGTCACGGTACAACCACGACTAATGAGCAGACCAGACCTTCCCTTGGTGCATGTGGGTCCTTTCATGCAGCAGGTTCGTAAACCATGGCTCCTCCAACACACCCAGTAGGGGGAACGGAACTTGAAGATACATGTGGCTGCTCTCCTTTCTCATCCAGATAGGATTTTCAGGCGTTTCCTTAATGGTTATTGTCGCTCCCCCTCTTCGTGGAGGAACGACACTAAACCCTGCCTAGGCTTCATATCCGAGTCACGGCCCCATTATATCGCTCCCCGTCTTCGTGGAGGAACGACACAGGACCCTGCGCTGTTCTTTTGTCTGCTTGGCCCTCCCCGGGTTTGTTGCTGGTTCTTCCCGGGTTGGCTGCCATCCCTTCCACCTCCGTGGAAGGGCGGTTCCCCCTGCCACTTTCCCCACTTCCGCGGGGGAGCGGCACACCGCCGGCCGGCTCTCTTGGGGGCTGCACAGGTGTTCCCCTTAGATGTTCCTGGTGCATGTTGTCTCTTTCCTCCTTTATAGTCCTCTTCCACCAATCCCAACTCTGCTACCCACACGCCGAGTACGCTGCCCTCCTCCAATCAGGAGCAGGTCCTGCTGTTTATTGGTTGAACTGGAGGCAGCTGTGTAGAAGCTGTTTCTCCCTTCTCAGCACCATATTGTGGGAGAGCAGATGCATAGAATAAGTCTTAATTCCAGTAACTTAGTCTAGTCCGAGTTGCTCCCAGTTGCTCCCCACAGTTATGATGCCCAAACTCCAGTCGGGTGTTTTTGTAATTTAAGGTTAAAATGTTAGATATATTTAGCACACCAGGCTGCGCCCCGTGCTTTGGTGCCGCCTTGGCAATCTGACAGAGTCAGGATCCTGGCATGTTGCCCTTGGTTGGTTCTCAGACTGGTGTCTTTTGCCGCCTTGTGAGTTTCTCCCCGATGCCTCAATTTCTTCCTTGATCTTCTCTAAATTCTACAGCTTGGGGGCCAGCAATGGGGCCCGGCAGGTTAATGCCACCTGTGATGCTGGCGTCCTGTGTTAGAGTACCTGTTCGAGTCCCAGCTGCTCTGCTTCCAATCCAGCTTCCTGCTAATGTGCCTGGGAAGGCGGCAGATGATGGGCCAAGTGCTGGGGCCCTGCACCCATGTGCTGCATCTTTGTTCTCTTTGACCTGGCCCAGCTCTGGCCACTGTGGCCATTTGGGGAATGAACCAGTAGATGTAAGATATCTTTGTCTCTCTGTCTCTCTCTTTCTCTCTGTCACTCTGCCTTTCAAATACAAAATAAATATAAGTATTAAAATAAATAAATAAGTTCTACAGCTTGTTCCTCCAGCTATAAAGTATTGCAAGTTTCTCTAGCTTGGCCAACAAAACACTAACTTAGCCCTGTAACAAGCTACAAAGGATGACTTAACTTCCTTCCTACGCTAGGATCTATTAGCTAGAAAATCTCTGTGTAGAGGCCAGCGCTGTGGCGCAGGGGGTTAACGCCCTGGCCTGAAGCACTGGTATCCCATATGGGCACCGGCTCTAGTCTCAGCTGCTCCTCTTCTGATCCAGCTCTCTGCTATGGCCTGGGAAAGCAGTATAAAATGGCCCAAGACCTGGAAGAAGCTCCTGGCTCCTGGCTTCAGAAGGGCGCAGCTCTGGCTGTTGCAGCCAATTGGGGAGTGAACCATCAGAAGGAAGACCTCTCTCTCTCTCTTTCTGCCTCTCCTCTCCCTGTGTAACTCTGACTTTTGAATAAATAAATCTAAAAGAAAAGAAAAGAAAATCTCTGTGTAAGAGGTCAGTGTCTCTTTTGCAGAAAGAGGCCAGCTTTTGCTCCAAGTAAGCCTGCCACAGGTTGCAGACTTAACTACTCCTAAATGTCACAGCACAAAGACAGCCCTGCCCTGCCCCCAACATGGGGTCCTTGTCCCTCTCATGTCAGTCTCAGGAATCCTCCCCAAGTGTCTCCCAACAGCTTGTAGATTCCCTCGGGCGTGTTCTAGGAGCATGGGCTCTGGTTTACTGGTGAGAACGAAGCCAATGGACTCAACCAAAGCCAAGGAGCCTGCGCAGCCCTGTTGCAAGACTACATGGAGAATTCCTGTTATTCATTCACTAAGATTGTTGGAGTCTCTTCTGCCTTGTTTGGTTTGAAGACTCAGTGAATGTCTGTGGAGTTGAGAGCAAGATCCAGGAGGGTGCAGTGGGCCAGCAGCAGACCACAGGGAGGCAGGGGAGAAATCCTGCACCCTCACAGGCAGCCATCACTCGCCCTGGCAGCATCCACCTGTGGCTGCTGTAGCCTGGTCCCACTGCCAGCACCCCAGTGTCTGCAGGGCACCCCGAGTCCACGTGAGCCATGGCAGCCTCCCCAGAGTGATGAACTCTGCAATGGGCCCCGGGTTATCGGAAGGGCTCCATCGCCTCCATCTGTGGTGCTGCGTGGAAGGAATGAATGCCTGCCCAGCACAGGACTCTGAATGCGTTCCCGTGGGTCACACAGTTCCCAGCACGGTCCTCCTGCTCTGGAGGCTGAAGGAGCTTCAGCTTCCCCAGGCTCCAAGAGGGAAGTAAAGCCAGCAACAGGCGGGATGCATGCCTCAAGTGGGTGTCACTGACAAGAATCAAAGCTTGCTTCCTTTGTTCTATCAACAGCACCCTCCTTGGCCATGGTGCCTTTCCTACCCCGCCCCCCGACCATGCTCACCACCCAGCCTCTGCCAAGAGTTTGGGGATGGGCTGGGGGTCTGGGAGCGCCTTCCACGGATGGCCCCCCAAGCCTGGGGCACACGGGTGCCCTCGGCAGCCCTTGAGTATTTGTAAAGTTGCTGCATGCATTTCAACTCCGTGTTCTACTCTGAACTTGTCATCCAGGGAGGTAGAGGTGGGGGAGAGGGAGGGAGAGAGGGAGACACCTGATTTCCTTCCTGTGGGCTATTCTGCTAACTCCTATTGCATAACTGAAATCAACTGGCCAAGTTTTTCTGTCTCCTCCAAGCTGTTGAGTCCACCTCCCTATTACACATTTCATTTGCTATCTCATCCACATGAAATTTTGGCTTCTATTTTAGAACAGATAATTGAAATAAATGCCTGCAGTGGATAAGGGAACGGGTTTGTGAACACCACCAGATTACATTTATTCTAAAGGATACACTCACGCCTTAGGAGGATGGACTAGACACAAAGCAACACCAGTGTAGACAGACAAGATCCTGACCCTGCAGTACAGGTCTGGGTACACTGTGTGTTGCCACTCTGGTGGCTTTTAAGGAAACTTTTGATTGCAAAACACCTGTACATGACCCTGAGTGTAGGGGGCTCTCTTAACCCATGCTGTCACTCACAAAGCTTATTTTCCAAGCTCTTATACTGTGGTCACCGGAGGGGGAGGGAGCATTCAAAGTTTGCAGGGTATCACAAACGCCGCTGCTCCATCTCCGCTCGCCCAAGCTTTTGTCTTCCCTTATTTTCCAACCTGGTAAAAGACCAAGTTGTCAGCGATAAAAGGCTCCTGGCCATTTGTCCCCGGGGCTGCTTAACCTGCCGCCTGTAATCTTTCATTGTTATTCCGAGGAGTCTGTTTCGGGGCCCTAACAAAGGGAGATTCCAGGCGTCCAAGGGTTCAGCCTTCGACTGGACGGAACTCTCTGCCACGCGGGAACTTCAGGCTGGGAATTGAATTCGAGCAGGAGAGCTCAACTCAAGTTTTCCTTCCAAGTTCCCCCTGGCCTGCTCCTCCCGCCCACGCCCCAGCCAGCTTTGGTAATGCAGACCCTTTCCCTTTTCCTGTGCAGAATTCTAACATCTCTCTGACCCTCAAATGTTAGATTTGGTGGGAGAGAGAAAAAAAAAAAAAGCAAAAACACACAAAAGGAAGCAAACGTACCATGGTGATACCTAGCACAGCTCAGTAATCGGATGTTTCAAAGACAGGAAAACAAGCTCAAAATGTTCGCTGGATTTGTTCTTCCAAGAGCTGAGAGCCACGTAACTGGAAACATTGTAATTACCTGCTATTAAATTTGATGTCCCAAACAGATGGTATCCCGTGTCCCCCAGACTTGGTTGCTCACCCCAACCCCAGTTGCTTCACTTCAGTTGCATCCCAATGTGGATTGGTTTGCTTCCCTCTCTGGGAGCTTGGGGTGGGGAATCTGACCGTAAAATCATGTCTACTTTTTTCTAGTGGATTCTCCTCCCCCCCCCCCCGCCCAACCCGGGGAGGGGTGGGGGTGAGAGTGGGGTGGGTCCAGACCCACTTTATTTCTTTGGGAGTCGCAGTTATACTGAAACCCGTCTTGTCGAGTCGCAGTTACACTGAAACTCGTCTTGTTGGGAAAGAAAAGCTTTGCTATATTAAAGGGGTGCTCCAGCGGCTTCCTGGTGGCCTTCGTCCAAACCCAGCTTCCAGGACCTCTGCAAGGGCCCCGGGGTTGCTTCCGCAGGGTTGCTTCTGGGGCCACAGGGACAGGGTCCAACCCTCAACAACCAGGACACGGGAGAGGGTGCCGGCGGTTTTCTCTCTCTCTCTCTCTCTCTCTCTTCTCTCTCTCTCTCTCTCTCTATAAAAAATAAATAAATAAATAAAAACAAAGACAGCTGCAGGAAATCATCATGGGAAGCTCTCTTCCAATCTGTGTTGGACCCCAGGGAGGCAGAAATGAACACACCACACCTTGACTTTGAAAATATTTTATTTGAATAGTAAATAGTTATACAGTTGAAACAGTTCTATTGAAGCTTTCTATAAATAGCTAACAATTAAGAAAATAATGTATGTAGAAAAGAGATTGCATTTAAAAGTAAGAGCTGTCGGTCGTACTAGGGCCGAGGGAGACCCTCCAAGCAGGATAAAATGGGAGGTTGTCTGTAATTCACTCCGATAGGTATAAAAGTTAAAACTTTTTTTCCCGCAGATCCCTTTAGCAAAAAGCTGTCTTGTAAAATGCACAGTGAAATGTCAAGAGTGACAGGGGCCAGGGAAAGCGCACCAAAAAAAAAAAAATTTGCAATCAAATAATATCATAATCTCCATAATTAATATAAATAAATAAAGAATAAATAACAATTCTTCGTAAATCAACATATACGTGTAGAGGGAATGATACGTAGAAAGAAGTCCTACCCCCAACACAGATGATCACCCCCCCACAAAAAAAAGTCTCACTTGAAATACTGAGGCAGTTACTACAGCATCTTAGGAAAGTCCCTTCCCTTCCCCCCACACCCCCCAAAAAAAATCCCAAACAGACAACAGTTCAAGGCATTTGTGGCTATACTAAAGAAAACTCGTTTCTTTTTTTAAGCGATTTGATTGGTTCACATACAAAAAGGTAAAGCCAGACTCCAGCAGTTCACAAGCCATAATAAAGCTAAATTGTGTGGGGGAGTTCGGTTTACAGCCTGTGAAATATAAAGGCATTGATTCCTCCAGATTCACCCCAAAACAACCCGTAGGCTACACACACGCACACACACACACACACACACACGCAGAGCAGAGCTTGGCAGGAGAGCAAACCGCAAGTCTAGACCAGGGACACACAGAACACTAGCAAGAAAAAACAGCTTCTCCCCCTCGCCGGGGAGCGCGCCCCCCGACCCCGAGACCCCCACCCACCCACACCGCGCACGCAAACACCGCGACTCCCGCTGCGCCGCGACAGAAGCCAGGGCTGGAGGCACCACGCGAGAGGAGGGTCGGGGAGGCGTCCCAGCGAGAGGATGCGGATTACTGTCACTCCACACCGAGAGGAGCGGAGACGGCACCTGTCCCCCCCGGAGCAGCCGCGGGCCAGGGGCGCCGCTCTCTTTTGCGGGTCTCCAAGCGAAGGCACAGTTCTGGGCACCCGGGGGGTGGGGTGGGTGTGGACCGGGGCGCGCGCTCTAGCAGGCCGGACGCACGGGCACCTGCAGGAGGATCACCTGTCTGTTCTCGGACGGGTGGCACTTGTTGATGTGCCGCGTGAGGCCCGGCGAGCTGTAGAAGGTGGCCGGGCAGTACTTACAGGGGAACACCTGGGCGGCGTGCAGCAGGCGCAGATGGCGCTCCTGGGCGCCCTTGCTGGGGAACGTCTCCCCGCACACCGGGCACAGGTGGCACTCGGCGGACGCACCCAGGCCCAGCACGCCGGCCGCCTCGCCGTCGCCGGCCGCCTCCTGGGGCGCCTTCTCTTCGGGCCCGGGGTACAGGGCTAGTAGGTCCTCGGCCGGGGGTGCCGGCGGCGCGCCCTTGGCCTGCAGAGCCTGGTGGTGGGCCAGCAGGTGCTTGCGCAGGTAGGCCTGGCGGCGGAACTTCTTGGCGCAGTGGTGGCACTCGTAGAGACCGTCCTCCGAGCCCGATTCGGAGACGCCGCCGGGGCTCGGCGTGTCCCGGTCGCTGCCGCCGCCGCCCAGCGTCTCCCGCGCCTCGGCCCTGGCAGCAGCAGCCTCGGGCTCTGGCGCGCGGGCGGCGGCGGCGGCTGCGGGCGCGGGCCGCGGTTTGTGCCAGCGGCGGTGCGAGGCCAGGTTGGCGGGGCAGCTGAAGACCTTGGCGCACTCCGGGCAGCGGTACTCCACGCGCACGATGCGCGAGCACTTGTGCTGCGCCAGCGCGAACGGGTCGGCATACTCCTCCTTGCACAGTTGGCAGATGAACTCGCCCAGGGGCCGCGCAGCACCCCCGGCGCGGCCGCGCGGCGCCTCCACCGGGCCCTCCTTGATCTTGAGCCCCAGCACGGGCGATGTGGTCACCTCGTCCTCGAAGTGCAGCTTGCGGATGGCCTTGGGCTTCTTGGCGCCGGAGGCCTTGGCTGCCTTGGCTGGGGGTTCCGCGGCGGCGGCGGCGGCGGCGGAGGAAGAGGAAGGGGGCGCGGGCCGCTTGCCCGGGGGCCGCAGGGCGGCGGCGGCGGCGGCGGGGGGCAGCGGGGGTCCGGGCCCCGGGCCGCGAGCCGCCTCGGCGCCGGCCGAGAACGCCGTGCCCATCTTGAGCTCGGCGGGCGCGAACAGCAGCGCGTCGCCGCCGCAGGTGCCACCGCCGCCAGCGCCGTTCGCGCCGCCACCGCCGCCTCCGCCTCCTGCTCCTAGCAGCGCGGCGGGCGTGGGGAAGGACTCGGCGGACACCGGCGAGCCGAGGTTGAAGCTGCGCTCGAAGTACTTGTGCTTCTCGTGCTCGCGGCTCACGGGCCGCGTGGGGCTGTAGAGCGGTGCCGGGTGCGCGGCCTCGGGGTTGCCGAAGTGTGCGGCCCGCGGGCCCGGCGGTGGTGGCGGCGGCGGGCCCGGCGCGCAGGCGAGCGCGGCGGCGAGCGCCGCATGGGCGCGCTCGGCGGACGGCGGCGGCGGCAGTGACCCCGGCCCGGGGCTCGGTGCTGGGGGCTCGGCGCGAGCGCCCCCGCAGCCGGGCGAGAGCAGCAGCGCGTGGTCGCCGTCCTCGCCGCCGCGGACCCGGTAGGACACGGGCGTGGACTTCTTGCTGCGTTTCACCAGGAAGCCGCGGGGCATGTTGGCGCGGCGCTAGGGCCCGGCAGCCGGCTCGCTCTCACCTCCGCGCTCGACCCCGGCGGCCCTCAGTGCCCCCGGCCCATGGCCCGGGCGCGGCGGCTGCGGAACTCGCGTGGCGTCGGAGGCGGCCCGGCCCGGCTTTGCGGCCCGCACGCGCGTCCCTGTCCCCTGGCCCGGGAGCCGCTCCCTTTTAACGGGGGGAGGGGGCCATTGTTCTCGCCTCCCGCTTTCCCCGGAGCCAATCAGCGCGCCCGCAGCTCCTCCGCCCGGCGGGGTGGGAGGGCGCCGGAGTGGCAAAAAGGGGGCCGGCACTCGGGGGTCGCCCGCTAGGTGCGGCAGATGTACCTGAGGGCGCGGGACCCCCGCGCGCGCCCCGCGGCCGCCCCGCCCGGGCCAGGCACACGCCCGGCCCCGCCTCCCTTCACGGTCTGCTGCTCCTCTATGGGGAGGCGCACGTGCCTGGGCTTTGTGTCTCTCCTCCGGGGGGCGCGGAGCCGCCAAATGGGCCCGTCCGTCAGCACGACAATGCGCGCCCCCCTCCCGCGCGCGGATTACGCGCGGGTCGCGAGCAAAATAGCAACAAAGGAGGAGAAGGGCTCCAAATATGTCAGGAGGGCTCCGGGCGCGAGCTGGAGCCCGGGATGTTGGGGGGGGGGGTTGCGCGCGCGGACTGCGTGGGTGTGGGGTGGGCACACGCCGCCTCGGGCGCGGCAGCTCTGCGTGGCGTGCGGGGAAAGAAACCGCGCGTCGAACATAGCTGCAAAGTCCGTGCGGCCTGAGCCCTGGCCAGTGCCTCTGACGGCGTGGCCCGAGCGGCCCGGGGTCCTCGTGGCAATCGTAGCCCGAGTTGCGGGCGTGGAGAGACTGGGCTGCAGCCGAGGGCGGCTCTGGTGCGCGCAGCTCCAGGACATGTCTCTCTGGAGTTTGAGAAAACAGTTGGTAACGCGCTTCCTTGCGTCGCGGGAGCGGGAGGCGAGCTGGGCCAGGTTCCAAGAGGGATTGGAATTTCGGAACTTTTATTTTGGGGTGGTGGGGGGATAAATCCCCCCCCCACCGCGCGCCCCGAGCCTCCGCGAGGCCCGGAGCCGGGTCTGGCCGGGTACTCCGCCGCGTGCGCCCCTGTGAAGTTGGTGCCCGCCCTCCCCGCGCGGCCTCATGCATTTTCATTCCTAGCGGGCATTTTGTCTGTCGGTTGACATCAGATGCTAAATCAAGGGCTCCAATCAAGGCGCTGCGGAATAAAGGGGCCGCCTGTCTGGGCGCAGGCCCCCCCACCCCCAGCCATGCCCCCTTCACCTTTGTGAAGGAAATTAACCTCCCGCTATTGAGCGCCGGTCGCGGCCAATCTGGACGCCAAAGGAGACGCGTGCTGCCCGCCGGGGGGAGGGGGCAATCTGTCCTCCGAGGCAGGCTGCGGCCTGGGAGAGCTCAAGCCGCCGCCCCCGCGCCACCAGGAGTAGACAACGGCGGAGTGCCCCCCTCCCCGGGCTGCGCCCAGAGCCGGCCGGCGGCCTCCAGCCTGCGCCCTGCCCGGCCCCGTGGAAGCACAAAAGACACAAGGCTCCGGGGGAACCTGGCAGAGTCCCACGAGTGCGCGGTGGCCCTGCGCGTCCGCCCCCGGGGAGCGAGCTGCAGAGCCACGTAAAATGTCCTGCGTGCACCGACAGCCCCGCTGGGCTGCCGGAGGAGCAGGCAGAGTTTTCTGCAAAGCTCTGCACAGCCAGCTTGGATTGTCCAGGGGTTTTGCTTAGGCTCAATGCCACTGAAGGTATTTAATTGTTTTTTTGGATTTTCCCTCTGAAAATACCCTGGCGTGAAAATGAAACAGATTTAAGGAAGAAACAGAAACAGAGGAGAGAGAGACAGAGAGAGAGAGAGAGAGAGAGAGAGAGAGAGAGAGAGAGAGAGAGGATATCTGCACGAGTAATAAGTTGTGATGAGGACAGCTGGTGAGGATAGCACATCAAGGGGTTAATCAAGTTGGTTAATCAAGGGGAAAGATAGTTGATGATTTTTATGTTTGTGATTTTGAAAAAGAAAACAACTACACACTGAAAAGAATACGTAGAATGTATTTTCAAAGGTGCCACTCCGGTTGTAAAAATGCTAACTGTGATGAATGCCAGTCCTGAAAAGTTGGAAATCCTGAAGTGAAATTTCTACAATGTATCCGTGACTTTTTTTCCCTCTAAAAGTAACCGACATAATTTCTTTGCTCTTTTGGCACCGATGAAGACGGCTGATGAAATTAGAAGTGGGGAAGGGATTCCGAGACAGCTTTGGCCAATTCTATTTTCTAATCACGAGTCCCATCTGGATTGTGGAATAATGGGGCCAGGGGCTCGGCCCGCGGTCCCTCCCCGGCCAACTGCGGGGTGTTGGAACTTGCATATGTAGTACCGCTTTCAAACAGCTCCCAGGGAGGCTTGGTCACCTTGTGAGTCCATAAGGGATAACAACACCCATAATTGTAATGAACGCGTGGGACAGGGGACGGGACCAACAACCAAAGCCAGAACACAAACCCCAAACAAAACCCCTGCCCCGGAGAATTCAAATCGCTTTCTGAGTTTAGCCAAGGGAATCTATTGAATTCTGTGAAGTTACTGACAGTCAATGGAACCGTTTCTTTTTCTCTTTTTGTGGCTTCTAGTCTTGCCCACGGGAAGGAAATCTGCTCTCAGACTGGTACGGTCAAAAATACACGGAAACTTGAAGGGCACAAGTGTCGGAAACTAATTTCATAACCCAGAGCAGAGGGAGAAGATAAGCTGTCCTCGCGGGCGCACCCCGGCAACCTCGGAGCAGGTGCAGCCGCGCACCGGGTCGTGGAGCTGCGCCACCTCCGTCAGCGTGATTTTCCGAGAATCTGCGCGCCCGCAGGGATGCGGACCTCAGGTCGAGACGTTTGTCTTCCTCTGGGAGTAGCCAGGCGCCACCACACTGCTGCGCTCCCGCGGCCGCCCTTGGCGCACTGCGACTCCGAGTAGGGGCTGCACGCAGCTGCGCCGGGGGGGGGCTGGGGGGGGGGATTTGGGGAATTGCTTGTCCCCTTCGAGGGGGCTTCCAGAGAGTCGGTGAGCAAACGGAACCAAAGCTGGACACCCCCCGGAGTCCCTTCCAGTCTACGTGCGATTCCGCCCTTCCCTGCGGGCTCCTGGGAAAATCCGGGGGGCCCCCTCGCTTCGCGTCCTGGCAGCCCCCGCGGCGGGTTCCTTTTCCGACGACTGCGGAGGAGCTGGGGGCCGCAGGCACTCCCAAGCTCTCCAGTCTAGTTGTGCGAAACTGCAGTCGGGGCGCGCGCCAGGGTTCACTGGGTCCCCCACCCCCACCCCACTCCCGGCTCGAGACTCCTGGGAGTTTCTAGAAAGGACGAAGCTTGAAAATGAGCGCTAAAGCGGGGGAGTTTGGTCGAGGAATGGGGCTTCTAGGGTTGTCCAGGGCTGCCCCTGAACACAGGGGGAGGATCAGTGGGTTGGTAGTCTCACCCTACGGCAGGGGGACTGCTTTGGAGACGCCAGCAGAATTTATCCGTGTCCCCCCTCCCCAGCCCCACTCTGACAAGGACCCCTCGCTTGGCTTCCCAGAGACACCCACCCTCGACCCTCGGTCCCCGCGCCTCGCCGCCGCCAGGTCCCGGGAGGGGGCCCGCGCCCCTGGGCTCTGTGCGCGCCAGACCCGAGCCCGGGAGAGGCTTTGTGTTTGCAGGAATGAGGGGTTGTTGTGTCAGCCCCAGGGGCACGCGAGAGACACGCGCAGCCCGCCCGCCGCCCCGCCCGGCACGGCCTCCAGGCACCTTCCGGGCCCCCCGCCCGCGGGCCGTCGCCTTTGTTCGGCACATTAGCATAAAGCTGCCATGGATCTCCCGTTTAAATAATTCCACACAAAAGGAGAGTGCATGAAAGAGAGCGAACAAGGGGGAATCCGCGAGGCAGCGCCTTGCGCCTGGCGCGGGAGGGCCCGCGCTCCAGCATTTGCTGCCCCTCGAGGTTCGGGAGCCCCCGGCAATCTGCTGCGCGCCCCCTACCCGGCCGGCCGCCGCCTTAAGGGTCCCGAGCGTGCCGTCGGGGCCGCCGCGCGCTCGCTTTAGTGCCTTCGTGGCTATTTGTTCCTGCCTCGGGTGGCAAGGGGGCTGGCCCGAAGCTGGGTGCCGGCAAGAGCTGGCCAGGGCGACGCCAGGAAATGTGGGGAAGCCGTGACCCGAGCCCTGCATGCGTGCGGGGCCGGCGCTTGGACGCGCGCAGGGTGACTTTGAACATGAGGGCGCTGGAGTGGTTCGTGTCCACGCGCGCGCTGAGCGGCGCGGCCTCCAGCCTTGCGCGCTCTGGCTGGGGAGATGAACCGACAAACCCGAATAGAGAAGCGACCGCAAAGGCCGCGGCTACCCCAGTTTCCTCCGCAGCACGCAGGCCTCCACTCCAGCTTTGCTACCCCAGGGTAGACAACGAGGCCGCCGGGCTCCCGGGGGAGGCAGAAGGGGATCAGCTTTTGCCTTGTCTTGGGTTCGGGCCCTTGGGTGTAGAGTGTACCAGTCAAGTGCTGTCCCTTCACCGTCGCCTCCCCCCACTCTCCTCGCTCCCCTCCCCTTCCTTCCTACACCTGCCCCTGCGTCTCCCTCTCTCCTCCGCTCCCCCCCACCTCTCTCGCTCTCCTCTCCACGTCCCTTCCCCCTCCCTCTCTGCCCCCCAGCCCCGCTCCCCACCCCCTCCCTGCAGGCCAACGTGTGTTATTTTATTTGTCTAGAGAGAGCCTATTTGTTCAGTGATGTGTGGCCTCCTGGTCTCCTGCTTTAATGGGGACCGCCGAGGCTTGGTTTCGGCGAACATTAGCATACAGCTGCCCGGCTCCGCGCCCGGCCCGGCTCACTTTATCCCGGCCTTATCAGCGCTTCTTCTCTCAACCAGAAAACAATCAACAGCTCCTCGCACGCCGCGACTCTCCAGCCCCTCTCTGCTTCTTGGCTGAACACTCGATCACCCGGGTGCCCTCCCTCTCTCTCCCCCTAGCCCCCTCTCCCCAGGGTAAATATTGATGGGCTGCTTTTACATCTTAAACCTCCACGCGGGGTCCCCCCACCCCCACCCCTACCCAGCCCACAACTCCGTTGCATTTTCCCTTGGCCTTCCTGTGATATGCGGGTGCAATAAAACCTCTCAGGGCCATGTC